CCATCCATCCATCCATCTACACATCTATCTGTCTATTTATCCACACGTCTATCTATCCATCCATACATCGATTCATCCATTTACATGTCTATCTATTAATCCATCAATTCGTCCGTCCATCTATTCATCCATCCAAACATCTATCCATCCGTCTATCTGTCTGTCCATCCATCTATCCACCCATCCATCTATATCTATCCATCCATCCATCTTTCTATCCATCTATCTATCTATCTATCTATCTATCTATCTATCTATCTATCTATCTATCTATCTATCTATCTATCTATCTATCTATCTATCTATCTATCTATCCATCTATCCATCTGTCAGTCTGTCCATCCATCCACACATCCATCTATTTATCTACACGTCTATCTATTCATCCATCCATCCGTACGTCCATCCATTTATCCTCACATCTATCCATCCGTTTATCCATCCATCCATCCATCCATATATCCATCTAGCCATATATCCATCCGTCCGTCTGTCCATCCATCTACACATCTATCTGTCTATTTATCTAATGATCCATCCATCTGTCCATCCATCCATTTATCCTCACATCTATCTATCTATCTATCTATCTATCTATCTATCTATCTATCTATCTTTAATCTTGATTTATCTGAAAATGTGATGGCTGCAGTTTCTATAACAGCCACAAGGGGAGTCTAAACCCAAATGATATAGGCACCGTTGTGAACGCACGTGTCTTCAAATGCTGTAATAATGAGTTTGTGTAATCTGCAGGCTGCCGAGTCGAGTGGACGGCACTGGGTTTGTGGTGTATGACGGCGCCGTGTTCTACAATAAGGAGCGAACGCGCAACATAGTGAAATATGACCTGCGAACTCGCATCAAGAGCGGCGAAGCTGTTATTGTGAATGCAAACTACCATGACGCCTCGCCGTACCACAGGGGCGGGAAATCTGACATCGACCTGGCGGTGGACGAACATGGGCTGTGGGTGATTTACACCACTGAAGCCAATAATGGACGCCTGGTGGTCAGCCAGGTCAGAAACTCAAATAGAAATACAGCCAAATAGAAAACAATTAAAGAGTTAATGAGAAACTTGCTTATAGAATAGCTAGATCATAACAATAACAATAACAATATTCTGCTGTGGTGACCCCTGATAAATAAGCTGAAGAATAATATAAGCTGAAAAATAAGCTGACTGTCTTGTGTGTGTCAGGTGAACCCGTACACGCTGCGTTTCGAGGGCACGTGGCAGACCAGTTTCGAGAAGCGCATGGCGTCGGACGCGTTCGTGGCGTGTGGGATCCTGTACGCCGTGCGCTCCGTCTACCAGGACGACGACAGCGAGGCGGGAGGAGATCTGATCCTGTACGCCTACGACACACGGAGGAACCGCGAGGAGCCGGTCAGAATCCCCTTCCCGAACCCCTACCAGCACATCTCCTCCATCAGCTACAACCCCCGAGACAACCAGCTGTACGTCTGGAACAACTACATCGTGCTGCGCTACCCGCTGGAGTTCAGCCCGCCGCAGCCCACCACCGGTCAGTGCTTTTAGGGAGCCGTTTAATGTTCAGAAGAAAACTACTGTACAGGATGATGTTTGATCCTTAACAGGGCACCGATTATGCAGAAATTACTTTAATATGGGGTTTAACCCCAGTAGTGTGTGTGTGTGTGTGTGTGTGTGTGAGCAGTGTGTGTGTATCTCCAGCACCTCTAGTGCTCAACAGTACTGAATTGTGTTTGTTCTAATCAGACTTGATGGAGAAACACTTTGATTGACATTCTCCCTTTGTGCGTGACATCACAGGGAAAGCCCCGCCCACTAGTGCCCATCTCTTCATCTCATTAGCATTAAACAGCAGCCCTGAGTGAGAAGCAGCCGTCTGTCCATTAGCCATTAGAGTGTTTGAGCTGCTGAAGATGATGTCAGCATAGACTAAGAGGATCATAGATGATGATGCACAGGTGTCAGTAGCTCCACCCTTTTCTGTAAAGAGCACAATCTCATTTGCATTTAAAGCGACAGTCAACAAAACACCACAATTAGGATCAGTTTCAGAGAGCTGGAGAACATTATCTGGGTGCTATTCTCAGCTCAAACTGAAACACACACACACTCTAGACACAGCAGACGCTTTTTACACAGATCTCTGCTGAATTATCTAAATTAATCTATGAGGGATCTGAACTACAGTTCTGTAACTGCACTAAAGTCTCTATAAGTCTCTTCAGTTTAATCTCACTGCAAACATCCTGATGATTTCTTCTGTTTTCCTCCTCTCAGATCCGCTCTCCACTCCTCTTCTCTCCACGACTCCGCCCAGTTCTCTCTCCTCCACCGTTTCCATGGGCTTTAGTCCCACTTCCGTCCCGTCGGTGACCTTTCACCCAGTGGGAGCCAAAAACCGGGCTCCGGCAGGGCGTCCCACCCCAGGGGCCCCGGACACCGATGTGTGAGGGCCGCGTGACTCGGGGAGTGCAGTGGCTCCCGACACAAAGAGGAGAAACAGTGGAGAGACCCTGCCCCAAAGGATCCCTCGGTCAGTGTGTGTGTTAGGGCTGCATGATATGGGACAAATGAGCATATTTAGTTTTCCAGGGTGTCCGCAGGCGTCTTAAAAATGATTAAAAAATGATAAATCAATTTAGAGGTCTTTAAAAAATTATTAAAAAGTCTTAAATGCTGTTTGCCAATGTATTAAATGTTGTATCATATTTTAATCATGAATCTGTATTTGAGATTTTTTAAAGAGCGTTTAATCACTGCGTAGGCCAATAGTGGGATCCTGTGCACATTATTTATGGCATTCTTCTGGATTGGCTGTCATTTCTGTGCTGACTAACTGCTGTATTATAGAGCGAGTCCATTTACACATACTAATATGCTTCATACTTGAATATACACTCACTGGCCACAGCCTACCTGAGTATTGCTGCTGACCATGTCCATCCCTTTATGAGCACAGTGTCTCCATCTTCTGATGGCTACTTCCAGCAGGATAACGCACCATGTCATAAAGCACCAAGGATTAAGGCAAAAAGGAGTCCAACCTGGTACTAGTAAGGTGTACCTAATAAAGTGGCCGGTGAGGGTATTTATTTTACTTCAGAACACTTAAAGCAATGTTTGGAAGAACAACCCTGATGAAAACGTGTGCTATTTAGATCCATATTTCACAAAAAATGCTCCAAATTACAGTATTTTAATTTAAAATGTGGAAGAAATGTTGACCAATTCTCATAAAATAAAATAAACATTAATATTTTAATTGAATGCATAGTAAATCTTAAGGCCCTCATCAAAACAATCTGAGAATGTCTTATGTTTTCCTATACCTGTACAAATGATCTTATTTATAACATCTTTAAATTGTGTTGCTAAATATATTCCGCTTTACACCAAAATTATGTTTTATTTTTGAAGATTTCCACATATCTCTTGTTGTAACCCAGAGTTGGGTCAAATATGAACAAACCCTTACCCATTTTTCAATAACATTTATTTAAATGGCACTTTGTTAACCTAAGGGTTGAATTTGTCCATATTTCACCTAACTTTGTGCTATAACAAATCCAGCAAGTTTTATCGTGTAATTAAAGTAAGGATGTCTGCGCAGTAATCATCATCTATCATTTGCGTGAGGAGGGTTGCATTGCCTTCATGCAAATCTGTCTAAAACTCCTCCAGAGCTGCAGTGGTCGACTGGATGATTGTGTTTTTGCATGTTGACGAACATTTGCATACGGCCTCATACACTTAAATAGAAAACGAGTATCAATATAGATGAACCACAGAGCCCACAGGCAAATAAAATCAGACTTACCTCAGATCAGAGCTGAAGAGGAGAACTACGAACGCCATCAGGGCTGAAAACACTCAGAAACAACCTCACAAACACACACACACACACAGTCAAGACCAGCGTTTCCCAAGCCTGTTCCTGAACGCACACCAACAGTACACATTTACAATCTCTCCTTAATCAAACACACCTGAATCAGCTCATCAGAACATCAGCAGAGACTCCAAAACCTGAGGTTAATGCGTCAGATAAGGGAGACATGCAAAATATGTACTGTTGTTGTGCCTCCAGGAGCTGGGTTGGGAAACACCAAACAACTAAAAATATGAACAGAACGAACATTAGGTTAATTAATTCAATGAAATTTAAATGACACCATGAAAACAATGCTTGGGTTAGGCCACATTTGACCCCAAATTGGGGTTAAAATTTTAAAGTAGTATGGATCAAAAACTATAATATTATTATCAGTTGCTATAGTTCATGTGTGCTAGTATAAATATATAATAACAGGTCACATCTTATATGAATTGTCCTTAATTTCTTTGTTCTTACAATTTAATGAAACATTAGGTACACTTATTATATAAATAAAGGTTTTTACATTGTACTTACACATTAGCCCACCCATAAACACATAGTCAAAAGTCAGCTATATTGTCTATTTAACCACATGTACAGGTCATACAGAGAATCGAAAATCCATTGCTCTCACACCCTAAGTGCCTAACATATAATATTAATACAAAAGTAGAATTTTAGAAAGAAATTACAATAAATACAATTATACATAACATGTAATCTAAAAATATACATAAAAAAATAAAAAATTGTAAACAATACAATTACACTTAAGGGCATGTGGCAATGAGTGTGAACCAGAGTTGTGCAGATGTAACAGTAATATAATTGTACTAAATAATTATACCAAACCTGCCCCGGTCCCACACCAAGAGCTCCAGAAGTGTTCTGCAATACATTATGGAACTAATAATGTTTAGATAAGAATCAGCAAGAACTCAGATGAGTTCCTCCTACAAGTGTTACTCAGAGATGCGATGCCACATTTCACCACTAGAGAGAGCCATTCTCAACACATTTGATCTGACTGCTGGAAAATAAATCCGTGTACTGGTTAATGCAGTTTCTGAAGAAAACAATGCACTTTAGTTCTTTTAAGCTCCTGCATGAAGACTTGATTTGTAAATCAAGGCTGCTCATATTTTTATGGCAAATCATTATATGTACTTGTTTACTAATAATTTCTTACTAATTGAGGGGACTAATAATATTGACCTGATTTTTATTCATTGTTTTATTATTCCAGTCAAGCTAAAAGAAGCAAGAATTCCTCCAGATGAAACATAATATAATAAAGTTTTCTGCTTTCTACTTATCATTTAGTGACATTTGTAAAATACTGGATTAAACGGAAAGTTTAAACTTTAACCCTCTGCTGTTCTCATTATGATAGATCTATAAAAGAAGCCATTTTAGAAAAGTAAAACAGTCAAATATTTAAGGATCTTACACACCAGGACGCTTTTCATTTGCGTTTATCGTCAGGGTTTTCAAGACGTTTTTCCGGATTAAACCCCAAGCAATTTTCACTGGCGTCGAGCAGAAGAGTATGCAAAATCCCTCCTTGACATTAGATGGCGCTACACAACTTTAAGCTTCTGTCACCCGCTTGTAACAGAAGAGGAAGACAAAGTTGACACGCTTGTGCTGCATCCTAATTCGCATACTTATTTTACGCCCTAAAAGTATGTACTTTTTTTGTGAAGCAAAAGTTAATACTTTGAGTGTGCAACAGAAGAGTATGCAAGCTTTGGAACATACTACTTCCCCTTTAACAGATCGTCATGTTGCGTGGATATTCATTCATTCATTTTATTTTCAGCTTAGTCCCTTTATTAATCAGGGGTCGCCACAGTGGAATGAACCGCCAACTAATCCAGCATATGTTCTACACAGCGGATGCCCTTCCAGCTGCAACCCATCACTGGGAAACATCCACACACACATTCACACACACACTCATACACTATGAACAATTTAGCCTACCCAATTCCCCTATAGCACATGTGTTTGGACTGTGGGGGAAACCGGAGCATCCTGGAGGAAATCCATGCAAACACGGGGAGAACATGCAAACTCCACACAGAAACCCTAAATGACCCATCCAAGGCTCAAACCAGCGACCTTCTTGCTGTGAGCAAGCCTACCTCTTTATATAAGTGCAGTGTTGTTGTTGCAGATGAAATATAACACAGATAATGCGATTTAAATATTTTCCTGTGGGCTAGATGTTGAGCGTATATGCTGGGTTCAAATTAAATGCGAAATAAATTTTTGCACGATTAAAATGACATGCGATGGTCAACGTAAACATGCAAATGGTTGTAAATGCTCGCAGTGCAGTATGAAGGATGTTCACAGGTGTCAATTGCATTTAACATAAGTGACAAATTCACATCAGGGAAAAACATTCCGCGAGTAAACTAGGGCAAGTGACGAGGTGCTCTGCTTTGCTCTGCTCTGCTGAAGCCAGCATTATCAACAGCAGTGATATTGTGTTTTCTTGGTTACCGATGTAAACAAAGCAAGTGCTCCATTTACCAACTCTGATGTAAGATGGATTTTTCAGAGTAGGGTGGTCAAAAGTAAATTTAATGGGAGTAGTCGGGTCAGGTCAGGTAGAAGATGATTCTAAGAGGGCAGCGGGTGAACAAAGACTGAATATACAACGGGAGCAGTCAGGTGTGGCATAAAACCTGGCGGGAGCAAGACTAAAAAATCTGTCCCGTGCAGACCTCTAAAGCGCACAAACATTATCGGGAAATAAACGTTTTTAAAATTTCAGTACCGACTTGTACCAATACTTCTGACAACATTAGTTCAGACACAGAATAAACAGAAAATACCACAAAAACTTTTCTAAAAACAGACAGAGATGCATTAACATGAACTCCTGCCCCAATTATCTCTCAAATTGAAAAGTCACATATTTAACTACATTTTCATCCTATTTGCACTTCATCCTGACATCAATCATCACTTATGCAAATCCATTTGATGCCTCAGCAGGAACAGAACTAACATTTGAGCTGTTTAAGGTTCAGATATTGCTCAAAGACACTGAGAAATCATACACTCTGAACCCAGCATAGAGGGGTTCGGTGAATGTGGTGTTGAATGTGTGTAAGTGTGTGAGTGTGTGTGTGTCAGAGACGCTGTAGAAGGACACAAAGCCGGACGGCACGTCTAGAAAGACACCGACTCTATTAGAGGGCGGTGAAGGGGCGGTAATATCCGTTCTGTCGTTATTGTGACAAACAACATAACTGTTATCAGAGCAGAAGAGACTCCAGGATTTATCATTCCATCCAAACACACAGTCACTCACTCCTTTCCTGCTGATTCCTCTAGATGCCACGGCTATACCAGTCACCCGTCCGTTCCATTCAGCCTCCCAGTAACAGCGTCCAGTCAGAGTCTCTTTACACAGGACCTGAGGATAGGTATCGAACCGCTCCGGATGATCGGGATACTGCTGAGGATCTTTCACATGTGTGGCTTTCCTGTTTCCCTCAGAAAGCTGAAGTTGAGCGTTCGCTGTGTTTGGATCCAGTGTGAGATCAACCGCATCTAAACACAAGAAGAGAGATGAGAAGAGAACTTACAGGATGAGCTTTCAGCAGTCTCGGTCATAAGTGAAGTCTCCCAAACTACTTTCAAGAGGAGCACGTGATATGATTGCTTGTGATTGGTCCCCCATCTGTAATCATTAGCAAGCCAATCAGATCATTCCAAACTCAACATTAGTATTTCATCTAAGTTTACTCCCTTATCTTCATTTTTTGAAGACCTTAATTGTTTAGCAGCCTATTCCTCTAGGGCTGCTCTTGATAATTAAGGAATAGGCTGAACAATTTCGGGGAGTTCATGAGAACTACCTGATCTCAGACTGCCTTACATGCTCATTGACCAAGAAGGAGCCCTGGCCTGAATTATCCCCGAGCTCAGGGTTCTCTCCCGGGACAGCATGCCAAACCTGCTAACATTATAAAGCAATGTCTGAGTGTGAATTCCTGAATGAAAAGTGCTAATAATTTAGGCTAAAACTGTGGTTAAGCAGAATGGATGTTACACCTCAGGAATACATTGTTTTCTAATAATTCAACGGACCAGAGTCAATTAAGGCCTCGATATACGTCAAATCAAATCCAAGAATGAAATGAAATGACATTATTTTGAACACCAACAAAACTAAATATTCTTTTTGGGATCATTTCGGCAGTTTGAAAGATGTGTCAGTGTAACGGAGGCCAGCTAGTGAAGTGCTGTGCAGGTAAACCTCACTCCTCTGACCTCTAAAGGTGCTCTAGCGACAGACGCTGGAGGGCATGGTCTTTGGCCTCCTTGTTAGAGCAACCCACTCCCATGCGGAAGATCGCCGGTTCGATACTAGCTCGGAGCGGGTTGGGTGGCTTAGGACCGGCGGGGTTACATCTGCACAAGTACGATCACCCTTGAAGAGATATTGAAGACTTGGTGTCACACATTGGACAAGAAGTTCACCTTACCATGCCACAGTTTGTGGACAACAATGGTGCCATTCAGTGTTTGTCTACGGCAAACAGGAAACAATGTAAAGATGTGACCATGTGGAAAATAACAATGTTCTTCTCTCTCAGCTGCCATCATTATGTTTAGGAGTACATGCGAGCAGCGAAATACATTTACAACCTACTCCATTAAGAGGGTGTTGGAAGGTTCAAAAACAGTATGCTGTCACTAAACCTTTCCCAACTTCTTTTTGCCCTCAAAACAATACACCGTTTGAAGCGTACCCTGGTATATTCTTAGATCAATGTGTGTTTAAGAAAAACAAGACCTACATTTCCTCAATCCAGGTATGATCCTAGAACGACCTCCAAAATCCAACCTAGAAAGTAAATAAATACATACATTAATTTTCAATGACAGACGAAAACACCTTGGCAAGGAACTCTCAAAGAACCCATGACAAAGGTTTATTAGTTTATTATTTATCAGCCGAACTGATGATCGTTTGTATTCTGTTACTGCTCCACATACTTGAGTTTCTGCAGTGTGTAGTGTGTATCCTCCAGTGTGTGTCGGAGCAGCTGGACTCCTGATTGTCCTGGGTGATTGTAGCTCAGATCCAGCTCTCTCAGGTGTGAGGGGTTTGAACTCAGAGCTGAAGATAGAAAACCACAGCCTTCCTCTGTCACCATACAGCCAGACAACCTGCAGACACAAACACAAATCAGCAGGTTATTTTAAAGTTTGTATGGAATCTTAACCTGTAATTGTCGGAACTCAGTATGAAAGTCTCACCTCAGTATCTCCAGCTGACAGTTTGGACTCTTCAGTCCATCAGAGAGCAGCTTCACTCCTGAATCCTGCAGGTCATTGTTACTCAGGTCCAGCTCTCTCAGGACACAGTTTGAGGATTGAAGAACTGAC